TTAGAAAGTGTTTATTTCATTTTATTTATTCATATATTTATTTTAATTTGACCAGAGATAGACTGAGAGAGAGAGAGAAAGTGAGAAAGCAAGCCACCAGGTCCAGGACTTAAACCATGGTCAGCCGTATGGGAGTGTCCAGCACCTTAACCACCATGCCACCTGCTGGTACTCCATTATGTATACCTTTTTAATTTTTTTTAAAGTTCATTTCTTTTTTAAAAAATCATTTATTTATTTATTTTTACACAAACATTTACATTGAATACCAAGAAATTTTGGGGACCAGCAGTTGGAGTAATGGCTATTTCGCTGGACTCCCATGTAGTTGACCTCGGTTTGAGTCCTGGACTCAGTGGCTTAAACTCAATCCAGGCATATGTGCATGCATGCCCAAGATCCCGAGAGGAGAATGGAGGAGAAGGGATGGCGGTGTGGCCACCCCCCCCTGGGGGGGGATTTCTTGCTTTCTGTCTCTATGTCTCTCTCTGTGTGTCTGGTGAGCGCACGCACCCTATAGCAGAAAACCGTTCAAAATTAATTAATTAATTAAAAATAAAAAAGGAGAGTTCTTAGGAACCAGCAGTTGGCGTAATGGCTATGTTCCTGGATTCCAATATAGTTGATCATGGTTCGAGTCCCAGACCTGGTGGCTTAAACTCATGCCGATGTGTGTGTATGTGTGTGTGTGTGTGTGTGTGCATGCCCAAGATCCCAAGAGGAGAATAGAGAAGGGATTGCGGTGTGCCCCTTAACCACCACACTACCTGCTGGCCGCCCCATGTTCCATAGATCTTGACAGTTAATAAACAACTTTCAAAATTTCAAATGATAAACAACTTTCAAAATTACATAAAAACTGGAACCAGCAGTTGGCGTAATGGCTATGTGGCTGGACTCCCATGTAGTCAACCACCGTTCAAGTCCCAGACCCGGTGACTTAAACTCACACTCACTGCATGTCTGTGCGTGCCCAAGATCCCGAGAGGAGAATGGAGGAGAAGGGATTGCGGCATAGCCATCCTCCTGGAGGGCGATTCTCACTTTCTGTCTGTCTGTCTATCTATCTCTGTCTTTCTGGTGAGCGCATGTGCCCTATAGCATAAACCTTTCCAAAAAAAATTTTTTTTTTTTTTTCAAAAAACTGAATTTAAAATAAAATCTTTGAAATATTTGTTATAATTTTGTTTGTGACACTGTAACAACATAGAGAAACAGAGACAATACGGTTTTAAATATTTTTGAGAAAATATTTACATGTCAACTACTCAAACTGTTGAAATGCAAACACCCAGCACACAATTCACATATAAACCTCGTCAGTTCACCCTGCTCACCAAGTATTCTGAGATACACCATCTGCTAGCAAAGGTTAGTCTCTTTTTCTTCAGTGTCTTCCGCAATATAATCCTCTGGTTGTGGCTGATGTTTTGTGGTCTCAGCTGATTACAATGCTGGACTGGAAAAGTCCAGGTTATTTTATGGTGCAAATGATTTCATATAGCTTCTCTAATCCTCTCTGCCAGGCAGCACTGTTTATGGTGCTAAGCCATCTTTCCAATAGCTTCTCTTGGCTGATTTGAGATCTGCCTTAGTTCCATAGTTTTCTGGTTTAATCTCCAGATATGACATTCCAGTCAAAGCCCTGTCCAGTAATGAGTATTTCCAATTTCTTACTCAAGGCAACAGGTATTACTGAACTTATGCAAATAACCATTCTGCCAACAAGGAAAAAGAATACTCCCAAATATTTTCCAATTGTAGAGGGGTTAGGAAGGGAGAAAAGTTTGTTTCCATTTAAAGAAACAGACAAATAAGAGAAAACATTTTAAGAAATTGCTCAACCTATCAACAGCTTAAAGAAAGCAAACTCCTTAAATTGAGAAAGCAAAGCATAGTAAAGAAAAAGACGGTAATGTTTTACTCAAAAGTCATAAAATTCCATTCACCAGTTCAATCTTAAGTAATTAATTTTTCTTCTGTTGAATTTGCAGTGTTACTGTGGTCCTATCTTTCTATTTAAATCCTGGAAGTTAACATTCAACATTATTATTGATATTTCTTGTCCCTAGCATTCCGTTGGTCATTTTGCTGGTTGCTTTTTGTTCTCTTATTTCAGTATGTGTGTCTTTAGTTTTCTTAGTAAAGCACTCCTTTCAGGACTTCTTTTTTTTTTTTTTTTTTTTTTTTT